TTAAATTTTTATTTAAATAATACATTTATAATTTTAATTTAATAATTTAGATTTAAATAATACGTATTCAATCATGCCTTGCAGTAATAAAAAACAGCTTTTCAGACACAACACAAATTCTTAACTTTACTATTGTCCATGATTGATCAAACTAAAAGGTTAGGATAAGACCTAGTCAAACAGGAAGAAGCGAAGTACCGTCGATTGCCGCTACGTCGCGCAATAGAAGGAACAGCAACTCGTGTATAAGATTTAATCAAGAGGCTATAAAAACGCCGAAAGCAGAGAAATCAGCATCGCTTCTCGGCTCTCTGAGCTAAGATCAAAGTGTAGTATCTGTTCTTATCAGCTTAATATCTGATACAGTCCCCATAGGGGGCTCAGTATATTAATCTATTTTTTGGGACCAGGCGGGTGCTCGGAGCTTGCTCCGACCTTGCCACGGGTCGACCCTGCATTGCATTGCAGCAGGGTACGGCCCAGCAGAGTAGTAATAAGTAAATATTTCTATAATGTTTCACCTGCCTGGTCTCAAGAAGTGGAAGGGAACACAGTGAAGTGCGCGAAAAAGTGACAGTGAGTGAACGAAGTGGACATACCGAGACTTTGGCGCGAATACTGAGCCCCCGCGTCGCCGGCGGCCATTCCGGGTAAGTTCCATGCGATAGAGCGAGATTTCAGCTTTAATTTCATATACAATAAATGTACCTTTCGTTTTATAATACCGGAGTAACAGCTGAACGCATGGAACACGGCGGCCGTCGCGGCGCAACACCGCGCGCTGTACCTGACGCGCCCGCCGCTGACAGCCTCAATGCTGCGTGACTCCGACTACTCGCGGCTAATTTTATACATATCTTTTTTTATTTATCTATTTATTTGCTACGCCGACCACCCGCGTGTATCACCGGCGCGCGATCAATGCGTCGTGTGCGCGTGCCGGTGCATTCGGCTGTCACGGCGGGTGCACGCGCGATCTGGCTCGGAGATTTTATTAATTTATTTATTTACTCATTCCGAGTGTGAGTGTTCGCGTTTGCCGAGAAGCGATTTCCGTTGTGTCATACGCGCCGCGATTAGAGGTTAGGAGTGTTGTGTGCGTGCTGTCATCGCGATCGCGAAAATTTTCAAAGTACAAATTCGGTCAAGTTCCTAAAAGCATCGCGATTGGGAGTGCGTTCTTAAAACTATATTTTTCGGTCCGTTCGCAAAACCACTCCCATCGGTCCACGTTCCGAAAACCAGACAGCTACGTACAAGCACTGTCATTGGTCCGTACACTGCCGCGAGTGCAACTAAGTGTAACAAGTGCAAATTGAACTGTATTCGCCCAGTGGATCCGTTGTCGCGGGCGCGCAATTAAATTTTTCAATTCTCGACTCGTCGTTTGGGGCCGAGTGATCTGGAGGCCCCTCTAATCGGACACCGTTGTGCGCTCGCTATGGCGGATCCGCGAGTGCACTGCATAGACTATCCACTGCCCCCTAAAGTAAAATGCGTCAAATGTTTCGGTGTCGAGGGGGCAGGTAAAGTAAAGGGCGAATACAGCGACCCGCCGCATTTAGCCAAACACCTGAAAAAATGCCACCCGGGAGACACATTAAATTATAAATGTTCCATTTGTGGTCTGCGGTAAGTACCCCCTTAAAGAGGTCAAGGCTCACTACAACGACAGCCATGTGTCTCCCGCCGTGGATGCGGCGGGTCCAGGCATTCGCGGCGGCCTCGGCGAGTGCGGTGGTGCAGGTTCGTCGGCGGCCGCCCGCGCGGCTGGGGCGGCCACGCGGTTGGCGGGGACGGTTGGAGGTGCGGATAGGCGCCGCACCGCGACCACGAG